TGACACTGGTTGGAGCCGGACTGGTCAAACTGGGAGGAGCTGGACGAGCCAAACTGGGAGAAGCCAGACTGGTGACACTGGTCGAACTGGGATGAGCCGGACTGGTGACACTGGGAGGAGCTGGGCTGGTGACACTGCTCATACTGGTCAAACTGGTCACACTGGTGGCCCTCTGAGCACTGGTGGCGCTGGTGACAATCGCAGCACCGGCCATACTGGGAGCACTGGTGGCACTGGTGACACTCCCAGTACTGGCCATACTGGGAGCACTGGTGGCACTGGTGACAATCCCAGTACCGGTCACACTGGTGGCACTGGGGACAATCCCAGTACCGGTCACACTGGTCACGCTGGTGGCACTGGGGACAATCCCAGTACCGCTCACACTGGTGGCTCTGGCAGGACCGGTGACCACGGTGACACTGGGAGCGGTGGCCCTGATGACTCCGCCAGCACTGGTCAAACTGGGAGCACTGGTGGCCCTGGCGACAGCGGCGTTGCTGCTCACGCTGGCGTTACTGGTCGCACTGGTGACACCGGTGGCCTTGGGGACATCCAGGCCGGCCCTGGGGACGGTGGCCATGGTGGCCATGGCCGTGGCCTTGGCGGTGGCGTCGGCGCTGGCCCGCAAGATGGCGGCGCCCAAGGGACTGACCCCGGCGGGGACAACCCTGGGGACAGCGGGGGTGGCCCTGGGGACAGCGGGGGTGGCCGTGCCAGCCTTGGCGTCCCCTGGGCTGGCGTTGGTGGCCTTGGTGGCGTTGAGGGCGGCGCCCACGGCGCTGGTGGCACCCGAGGTGACGGCGCTGGCGTTGGCGACCTTGGGGTCAGCGGTGGCCACTCCCACGGTGACAGCGCTGGTGGCAGCACTGGTGACACTGGTGACAGCGCTGGTGACACTGGTGACAGCACTGGTGACACTGGTGGCGTTGGCCACCTTGCTGTCCGCGCCGGTGGCCGCCGTGGCGACACCGCTGGCGGCCTTGCTGTCCATCAGGGCCACCCCCACGGTGACACTGGTGGCCTTAGGGGCCGCCCCCGCCGTCACGTTGGTGGCCTTGGCGACCTGGCCGGGCGCGGCTCCCGCCGTGACTTTGGGGCCGGCCCTGACGTCCGGTGGCACCTTGGCCACCGCCCCGGCGACCTTGGGCACGTCCTGCGGCGGCCCCTTGGCGACGCCGAGCCGCGCCGCGGTGGCCTTGGCCACCAGGGACACCGGGGCCAGCGGCGGCAGCGCCGAGGCGGCCACGGGCGACGAGGGCAGGCTGAGGCGGGCGGCCGGCAGCAATGTCCCCAAAGTGCCACCGCCCGGAGCCCGCGACAGCGCCCGCGGCAGCCCCGGGGGAGGCGGAGGCGGCGTCCCCAAGGTCCCCAAGCGCGGTGACAACCGGGACGGCGGCGCCGGGGACGCGCGGGGGACGCTCGGGGACGGGGACGGGGACGGGGCGGGTTTGGGCTCGGGGGGTGGCGGCGCCGGGGACGATTTGGGGACGGAGGGAAGGGAGGGTTTGGGCTCCGAGGGCGGCGCCGGGGATTTGGGGACGCTCGGGGACACCGGCGTGGCCTTGGGGAGGGCCGGGGGTGTCACCTCCACCTTGGGGACATTTGGGGACAGCGCCTTGGGGACGGGCTGGGACGGGGATGGCGGCGGTTTGGTGTCACCAGAGGCCACTTTGGTGTCACTCGTGGCCACTCTGACGTCACCCGTGGCCACTTTGGTGTCACCCGTGACCACTTTGGTGTCACCCGTGGCCACTTTGGTGTCATTCACGGCCGGTTTGATGTCATTTACAATGGGTTTGGTGTCACTTGCGGCCACTTTGTTGTCACTTGCCACGATTTTGTTGTCACTTGCCACGATTTTGTTGTCACCTGCAGCCATTTTGTTGTCACTCGCGGCCGCTTTGGCGTCACCGCTCCCCGCCTTGGCCGCTGCCGGCCCTGGGGACGTTTTGGTGGCCCCCGCTGAGCTTTTGGTGGCCCCCGGTGACATCCCCGCCGTCCCCTCGGCCACCACGGGCGGCTTCTCCTCAGCCCCCGGCTGTGCCGACGCCGCCGCGGTGGCCGCCGATGTCCCCTCGGGGGTGGCCTTGGTGGCCTCGGGGGTGGCCTTGGTGGCCTCGGGGGTGGCTTTGGTGGCCTCGGGGGTGGCTTTGGTGGCCCCCTCGGTGCCGGGCGGTGCCGGCTGCGGGGGGAGGGGCTGTGTCCCCCCAATGGGGACCCACTTGGACGCCGCCGC